ATGTTTTATTTTACTGCTTTCTTTAGAGGAATATAAAGCCAAATTTCTATTATACATTTTATAACTAGAGAAATATAGTATTATGATTCCCAACAGCTTTGTGTCTCCTGTTTGACTAATGTCTGCCTACACAGGCCTCTGAACAAAGTTTGTTATAAACTGTATATTTACAAGAAACAGAGTTCAATATAAAATATAAGAGAGGATGAGGAGAATTTATAAAAGCAAAAATGTTAAATTCAGTAGAATGAGTTGTCCCAATGAGAACTGCGGAGCTCCAGTTACGGCTGTAACAACTGGTGCATATCAAGTTTTATAATTTTTTCCATTAATAGGAAATTCCTGATCTGATGTTCCATTTTCTAGCTTCTGTACCTAACTTCCATGGTTATCAGCAGAGTCACGCCGTCACTTACACTCTAAGAGTTTTCGTAAGGAGAAAGGAGTTAAAGGATTTGCCAAAAATTAATAGCTGGATGGAAAAAGGAAAAAGTATCCAGTTTTTTGAGCAGGTCTTCTCCTCTATTTCTGAGTTTTGAAAAATAATGTAACAGCAGAAAGCTAGGTAGGTTCTCTTCACCAGGGAGAAGAAATAAAGGGGGGTGAGCCGAGACACAGAGAGATGTAGCTGCAGAAAGGAAAGGCAAGGAAAAAAGAAAACAATTTCCCTTCTTTTGCTTTTAGGCAGCTGTTTTGGATGATGTGGTAATCTTTAGTCTTTGGAAACACTTTATGCTCCTTTTTGGCTACTTGGAGCTATTAAGCACAGTTGATGGTTGACAGCAGAGGCAGGTGACAGCTAACAGGTAAGAGCTGACAGGTAACAGCTAACTCGTGACAAAAAATTTTCCAAGGAGCTATGACTTACAAAATAGAGTTGCACTCTGCTTTTGTACTAATGCATAATTTGATTTGTCTCCAAGCTGTACTGGTAGAACTGCCTCTACGAAACTGTTTCCAGTGCAGAAGCAGTAGTCCTTTGTAATTCATATGTGATCATTAAAAATGATCGCACAGAGTCATGCAGGTCCTTCACATTCCTAAGGTGGAAAAACATTCCTGTAGAATGAAAATCATCCTTTTTCATGGAGACTTCCTGCTTGAAGCCTCTTTCTTGCTATCATTAGGTAGGGATGAGCATACCTAGCAGCTAGAGCAAAAGCTTGTGAATCAGGCTCCTTGGGTCTAGTTCTTGCTCTGCTTCGAGTCATGTCGCTTGTGCTCCTCACAGGACTATGCTGTGATGCGTAAATTGCTCAACTTCCTGATAGGGAAGCAGGAGGCTTTGATGAGGTCCTGGTGAGTGCTGACTGTGGTGAGATCCTCTGATAAATGGATCTGTAGAAATTCAGAGCTATAGCAGTACGAAAATGAACTGTTTAGTCACAGAGTCTTACTGTGAGAGAAACAAAAATCTAGTACTATCTTTCTTTTTGAGTTTTCCAGGTCATGATTGTTCGCTTCTTTGCACTATTTTTAGAAGATGAACCTCCTTCTTTTCTGGTCTTGCCAGGAGATAAGGCAAACTTGCTTTGAGATAAGAAGTACTTAAAAAAACACAAAGTAGCTGAACTTTTCCTGTGTACTTTGAGGGTATGTCTTTACCGAAGATAACCAACCTGACACAGCCATATGGTAGGAGACTAAGTGTGTATTATCTTGAAACTCTCCCTCCTGTATACTCAATTTAGATGATGATTTCTTGACTCAGTAATGGATTTCCTGCCTGTTGTTTCTCTCTTCAGGAAACACTAGCATTATGTAGAGAATAAAAGCAATCAAAGGCTTGACAAATTGAATTTGCTAAAATGTGTGCTTATGGCACTCATGAAACAAAAATGTCAGGGAGAATAGAGATCTTCGGAGGCAATTATTTATGACCAAGTGATACGAATGAATGCAGAAGAGATCTGGTTGGGAACTGTGGAATCAAGATTTAGAGAAAATGTTCAAAGGACATCAGCATCAGAAGAGAACAAATTAAAGCTTTCAGGATTAACTGGAAGATCGGGACGCTGCTGGAAATCTGGGAGGAGTGGTCACTGCAGTCTTGCTTTTCATCCCTCACTTTCTTATTTTGGGCCTAGGAGCTTCATGATTTTTAATTCTCATTTTGTCTAGGTAGTTGGCTGAAAAAGGCTTGTATAAAATTTCCAGTTGCCTCTTGGACAGAACCCAAGTGCAATTAAACCATTTAAACACAGGCTTTAGCATAACTCCAACCTACGAGTTATCCGCTCTTCCCCTGGAGTAGCATATGCTCCTGAACACGGTAGATTGTATCAGTAGAAGAGTGGAGTTCATGTTGGTCGAGGAAGTATGCAGAAAACTCATAGAAGGCACCCATGAATAATAATGAATCACTTCATTCTTTTATTGAATGTTGTAATATATCTTTTGGTGTAATATATCATCTTTTGGAGTGTAAGCCAATCTTTGTAGTTGACATCAGATCTGTATTTCCACAGTTTTATGAAGGGCAAACGTGGATTGAGCCTATTGGCTTTCATTAATATTTAGGGCAGTTCTGTAAATACAGAACTCTTCATATCGGGGATCAAGATGAAAGAAGATGCCGTATAAATATGTAACCCGTATATACATATGGCGTGTATAACTTTTTCTTAATTGTCTTACAACGATATTTGTTTCAGTGCAGGAAGTCTGTAATGTGCGCGTTTCCACTCTTGGCTTGATGGCTTTAAGCACAGAAGATGGTTCTGACTCTGCTGAATGGAAAGTGCAGATTTTTGCTGAAACACTTCACCTCTAGAAACTACCCATATGGGAAACAATTATTTGCAAAAGTTTTTCCTTTCCTTAAAGCAGTATATGAAGTCAAGAGTGTTTTCAGTAAAGGTGCTGAACTAGATAAAACCCTTGTTAACTATGGAATTGTTTCTTCTCCATTTAATTTCTCTTTATAGTCCCAAATCCCAGCACTTTGGGGAATAGCATTTCAGCTCTGGCAAATCTTTTTATTTATTTGTCACTCTAGCCCTTAATGTACAAAGGAAAGGGAAAGGGAAAGGGAAAGGAAAGGGAAAGAGAAAGAGAAAGAGAAAGAGAAAGAGAAAGAGAAAGAGAAAGAGAAAGAGAGGAGAGATGTCTGAAAATTATTTCCAAACTTTGCTCAAAGCTAGTCCTACTTCTTTCAAACCTTTTTGGCCTACTCCACACTGTATCCTGATCCATACTTCAAAGAGTTTTAAAATTTCAAAAATTATAGCCTCTGTTTGTACATTGTCTCAAGTATCCTGCCCAGTCAAGAATAACATCTGGAGTAGAGGAAGATGCTACATTAGTAAATAATATTTATTATATTAAAATACCAGCCAGCATGGGCTACGTGGTGTTTGTAAATACACTGGAAAGCTTAGTTCCTACGCCTAACAGTTTATAATTGAAGATCAAATACTTTTTATAGGAGGTCTAAAGGAAGTTCTCAAATCCATATTTAAGGGGAATAAATACTTGGTATTGCTGAAAAAGGCCAGCAATTTATTTAAGTACTTAGATTTAATCTTGGGATCTTAATTTCAGGCACCTATTAAATAAAAAAAAAACGAAACAAATGAACCCCCCCCAAAAAAAAGGTCTGGACTATGGAAAGTGAGTTTTATGGTGACAATCTCTACTGAAAGATGTTCCACTAAATGGGTGAGGGTGGCAGAAGATGGTGGCACTGGCCACAGTGGCAAAGAATTGAGGAATCTGAGATGCAATTTAGAGACTAGATTAGAGTTAACTTAGAGTTGATGTAAAACAAGCCCTGGTGTTCCTCCAGCATATCCATCCTGCTGGGGACTGGAAATACCAAACCCAAACAGGAGATGCTGATGCTGTAACTAAAGTATAAGGGCCAAGGCAAGTAAGAGCGGTACCAACACAGTGTTCGGGACAATGATGTATTTCCTTCAGACTATCCCTTTGCATGCTGGAGAAATTCATACATTCCAGGTCATGGGTTATGATAGTTTAGGTTTATCTCTATGTCTCTGGGCCCAATTAATATTAACGGGCTAATCTGGATCCGCTGCACCGCAATATTTTATGTGTAATTTATAAAGTAATATGATCTATAGGCTAAAGTAATTTATAAAATGAATTGAAAGGCGGCATGTGCAAGTAATAACTGCTATGAAAAATCTTTCAGTAAAAAAATAAACTTTTTAAGATTTGATCTTAATAAGCGCAAAAGCTCTGGACAATTTAGAATAATATTTTTAGCTGAAATGTTCTTTATGATAAGGAGTAAATAATTTTAACCCCTTTTACCCTTGTTGTGAAAAAAATGTGGTATATCCCCCAAAAACATGAGAAATAAAATCAAGATGGGCATCTTGATGGCTCGGTACTGTTTTGTACAGATCTTCAAACAATACTTAGTGCTATGGGTTTCTTTCTAACTACCAAAGACAATGTGAAAACTTGTCAAAGTCATTTTTATAAAACCAAATAAATCTGAAATTTCTTTAATAAACTTCACACTGTTTTGTAGATCTTCAAACAATACTTAGTGCTATGGGTTTCTTTCTAACTACCAAAGACAATGTGAAAACTTGTCAAAGTCATTTTTATAAAACCAAATAAATCTGAAATTTCTTTAATAAACTTCACTTTTAAGTGAAAGTCAGTGAAACGATTTTTTATTGATAAATTCACATCCTCCTATTGGTTAAATATGAAGAAAAATAGCACAACAAAATGTGGTGGCTCATATACTGTTCTTCACTAAGGATTTAACAGTCAAAATGAGGAGAGCAAAAATATAAGGAAAAAGACCTATGAAAGTCAAACTTCAGAATCTAGGCAAGATCTAGGAAAATATATAAGTGTAGAATTTTTGAATGATTTATAATGGCCTCTATAAACTGGGATTATAGTTGTTTTCTTTAAATTACAAAAGATCATTATGGAAAATTATGTCAGCAGTGACATTCATAGGCAAAATCTTAAAATATTAAATGGTCAGCAGGGTGAACAGGGCTTTCACTTACGCCTACTTTCATAAATAGCTCTTGATTTCTCATACAGCTCGTATGGGTCAGGTTTTCGTGGATCAAAGGCCTCTGTTGAATCGGGAAATGAACTCCTGTGAAGAGTGGGTGGGTAAGGAATATTCTGTGGCATAGCTGGAGCAGACAGGCTTGTTTGAGGGCTGCCTTGATTCTCCCATCGTTCCATCATCTGGAATAAAAACATACAGAGAATAAAGATGAAGTTTTGCAAAAAACTGTGACTTCCACAATGAGACCAAAGACAGTGATTTCAGTTGAAGATGTATTTTGTAAAATTAGCAAATCTGTTTGCTGCCTCTTGAGATGAAAGGTATGTGTTGTGCCATTTATAAAATTACTTGGTTAAATTTACTTCTTAATTTGTTGCTCATGGGAAGATGTGATCTTTCTCAAATAATATGATCCCGTGTGGATCAGGGCCCAGCGTTACCCCTGAAGCATGTTGAGTGCCTCTCACAGAATGCACTGAGCTATTGGAAGTTATTCTGCTAAAGGTGGAATCTGTGGGTCCGTGAAGATACAGTTATCAGGTTAATCAAAATACATAACCAAAAGTAGTGCTTAACAAAGAAGTGGCCAGACTGGGTAGCAACTGAATGATCTTAATGCTGTATCTTTTGAGAATGCATGAAAATAGCTAGCTGCCCAGGGAGAAGTAGATTACTGTAACTGTGAGCAGAATTTACAGCTTCAATTGAAGAGAAAGAAAAAAAAAACCAAAGGGAAAATTATTACAGCAGGTATTTGAGCATCTAGTGACAGTCGAATGTTCAATGATAAAATACAGAACATGGTGAGAGAAAAGTGGTCATTAGTCTGACAGAGTCTTTTTCATTTCTTACTGTTTCTTTCTTATATCAAAGATTACATTGGCGTCATCCAACCAAACTCCCAAGCACAGGATAAGCTTTTCAACTCTTCCAGACCATTTACAGGAGAGAAGTACATAGCAGTGTGTTGTCTATGCACGGAAGCCACCTCAATTCATGTTTTGTCCAAGACTGTCCCTAGTGGTCTCACAAGTACCTCAAGCCAGAAAGGAGATAATGATAGACTGTGCACAAGAAGACTTGAGGATATACATTTTTCTTTTTGAAGGAGTTGGCTACTAATTAAATTGCATTAGCAAATATATTTGAAGAGGCTAAGTTAAACAAAACACAAATGTTTATCCCAGGAAATGAATATTTGGCTTTTCCTGTGACGCCTCCTGAAGCAAAGGGTGGTAAAGCCTCCAGAACAGTGTGTTCTCACACATAACACAACAATCAGTTAATTACACAAAAAAGGACTCTTGGAAACAAACTGAACTGTAATTAAATACTACTGACTTCTAGTGTTGTATCAGCAGTGCCTTATCAAAGATGATTGCAGGTTTACAGCAAGTTTGCTCTACAAATTCTGTGACTATCATTTGCCTTTAGTTCCTTGGTTTCAGAAGGTGTTTGGCTCAGCAGGCAGGCTTTGCCTTCTATTCTGATGATTAACAGCATCAGGATTTTTCCACACCAAGTATGTGTGGACTACAGATGTTTTAGAGTCCTTCTGGTGAACATGCTGAGTAACTATCACTCTGCATATCCCAGGTGATCTGACACTCTTAGCTTCATACTTCAAAATAAACAGAATATGGATATTGGCCATTTTAAGTTGTTGAGGACCTCATTCTTTATACAGAATAGTGTTATAATTCAAGCTGTGCTTCTGTCAGAGTTTCAGCAGTAAGTAGGGCTGGTTCATTAGAAACAATGAAGAAAAGAAAGATCTAGGTATCTCAGTCAATCATAGGATGACTCATGCACTAGTATGCGTCGGGTATGATACTTAAGTGGAGAAAGGAAAGTATTAGTGCTATGAAATGCTAATGATGAAGATATGGAATATTGTATTCAACATTCGCCAATGTTGTTATAGAAAGACACATTTATTTTGGGTCAGATACAAAAGACAGCAACTAGGATGTGATATAAGAGGGCATTATAGGTATGTAGATCCTGTGCAATACAGTGACATATGGAGATACCAGAGTTGTCATCGAAATAGCTTAGGTACAGGAAAGTACCTAAGGTACCTTCAGGTACCCTTTATACCAAGATAAATTTATCCTCTGTGTTGGGTAAATTAGCCTATGTGGCAAGTCACATGAATGTCACAATAATACTTCTGATAGTGCTTCTGGCTCTAAAGGAATTACCTCAGGTATGTATAAACATATATACAGTATATCATTGTATCATGGAAGTGTAAATTCAAAGGTCTCCAGAAACAAACCTGATTATGACCCCTATGTCTAAATAGGCAAGGAGAACTGGGCTTAATATAAGTTCCTTATGATCAAGGAAAATAATGGAGAATTATGTTTAGGTTTTACCTCCAGTGAGGAATCTAAAAAAGAATACAAGTCAGTGAAACCAAACTATCTATTTTATTGCTATGAAGCAGAAAGACATGTGGGGCCCTGTCTATCTAGAAGTGAAAGTTTCCTAATTTCTTGGACAGTTCCAGAGAAATAGAACACTTACCTCTTTCAAAATGTGAAACTGAATAAAATTAAAATATTTAAAGAAGGCTTTAAAAAGAGAAAGGAAAATATAATTATCTTTGATGAGCAAACTTTTCCCTGGAGGAAGGACAAGAAACTGGAGATAAATTGGCAAAACCCTACTGGGTCCCATATGTCTAATTCTTGCTTGCTGGTTAGCTCTAAATCTTCAAGTGTGAAGTTAAAAACCGAGCAAAACATTCTTACTTGTGGCTAATACTGCTAACATAAATAGTTAAATAAACAGATTAAACACAAGGGGAATTATATCTCCCAAACCCATATCAATTAGTTAAATAGTCACACAGTGTTTTGCAATGTGAGTTATCATAATGCTAGCTTACAGATGAAGGCACTCTTGGAAATGAGCAAGCATGGTATTGAGTGCAGGGCATCAAATCTAAGTCGGGGTAATGGTTTGGTGACATTGCTCAAGTTCATTTTGCACTAATCAAATTGTATTACATATGATACGTATAATATATGCACTATATACATAGAAGCCACAGGAAATTTCTGTCAGCCCAGGTTACTCTGGGATGTTGAGCACACAGAGATGCAGTGCACACCATCCCTGAGCCTCTGCCTCAGGGAGAGGAGCTTGTCTCTTCTTGTCTTCCAGCCAATGCCCTGTTGTCCCCTTTTTGCTTTAAAGAATGGTGAGTGCTTCTCCCCTGTGTGGCCAGAGAGGCGAGGGGGCAGCAGCAGTCACCCAAGCAGAAAAGAAACCTGGGTTTGGGCCATCTACAGTTTTTCTTTCCTGTTACACACCTACAGAGCTATGCTGTGGTGTTAGGAAGGCTTTCTAAACCTCTCGGTGCTGGCCTTACTGCTTCAGACTGTCTGCAGACACTCAGTGCTTCAGGGGCACTTGGTTTCAATCTTGTCTTCACATCCTGGGCACTAGAAATTTATGCCTGATTATTTCTCTAGTTAAAGTGGTGACAGACAGAGGAATGTACACTACCTTAACCTGGTTAATCATTTGTAAACTCTCTTGCTGAGACTACCCCAAAATAGACTAGCTGTGAACGGTTAGCCTGCGTGCGGATACAGTATCTGCACACAATGGTGTTATATTATTCTGTGAGCCCTGGTTTCCTCAGACTGTTGCACGAAAAACTGCATCACTCAGGTTGTTTCTCTAGATTCTGATTATTGGCAGGTGCCACTTGAGTATGAACTACTATACTGTTTATATAACAAAACTGTGCAGACAATCATCAACAACATGCTGATATTTATATATCTGATATGTACAAAAAGAGGGTGAGCGCTGACAGTGGGAGGTCTTTGAATGTGGATCTTTAACAAGTAAGTTCCAAGTTCTCTATTTCATCATTTTTTACCTGAGATTAAAAGCTGAACATCCCAGTCAGACAGGAACCTTAAACTGGTGAGAACAAGCTAGCCCTTAATAGTCAGATTTATTTTCACAAATGTCCTGCTACTTAGATGAATAAATAAACTTATGCAACGCTTATTCCAATGTACTGCATCCATCCTCTACCCTTTTACATCAAAAACACCACAAGCTGAAGCAGTCTGATGGAGTTGCATCCGCTGATTAACTAATTGCTATTTGTATTTGACAGGCTACAAAAATTTTTTTGGTATGCATTAAACATGCCGTGATCCAATATGAGAGGATGTGAAGTTGTCCAGGTTCAACACACCTCCCCCCCCCAAATAAGAAAGCTATAAATCCTTTAAAAATATTGCTATTGTTACTCCTATTGCTCTTAGAAGCCTTCAGGCAGAGTCAGGGCTCTTTTTTCCTCTACACACCTCTGATGAGAGACAAGCACTACTTTAAGGTCTTTACAATCTAAATAAAAAAGCCAAATTAAAAAAACCCAAAACAAACCAGGCAACCAAAAATAGAGCCTATGATTTCTTTTTATACTGTGAATGTTGTCACAACTTCAAAAAATGATATAATGTGGTGTCAACAGAATAAATACAGTCATTGCTTACAGTCTTACAGTAGGAAAGGTCTTCATACCTTGGGATTTAATGTCAAAATCATAGAAACACAGAAATGTTGGTTAGAAGGCACCTCAGTAAGTTATCTAGTCCAAGCTCTCACTTGAAGTGTGACTATTTCCAGCTCTAGATCTACTAATGCAAGAAAGAATAACAATCACTTTAAGGATGTTAAGCTCAAGCCACTTGTAAAAGAGAAAAAGTGCATGTTGTCATTTCAAAGAGATCACCAACTAGAAGGCCAACTAGACTGGCCTCATTGCTGGGGCCTTCTGCTGCCTTCTCCTCCAGAGCCCTCATTTTTGAGCCATTGCATTTCTGGTTCTTGACACCCGTCTTAACATTGAGATGTTCCTTTCTCCAGACTGCTGCTGGCAGACTCCAAGTCAACAGATCTGGAGAGCTTATTAGTGAGGCCACCCCTCATGGTGTCTCACCTAGAGTTGCGGCACTGCTGAGAGGTGCCCCATGAGCTGGGAACAGGAGGGTTAGATGAGAGTCTACCGAAATTTGCTTTGAATGATAGTCATCTTATGAACTCAATGTGTATAATGTTGAAAGGGAACTTACAGGCTTTGGAGTTTTCCATGGAGAAAAGAAACCTGAAATAAATAAAAAATAACGTTAACAGATTTTTCTGATGCATAAAGAGTGGAGGCTAAGTGGTGTCTATGCTCCTGTTCTCATTCAGGTCTGCAGATAATATTGATATATATGAAAATTCTCTCCACACAAGGGGTAAAAACACAGACCATGGGGGATAATTTCTAAGAAAAAATATATGCAAATATATATATATGCATATATATATATATATGCAAGTGGAGCTATTGAGATCATTGCCATACTTTACAAACAGCATGGGATTAGGTTGAAATTAAAAGAACTAAACAAAAGGACTTCCAAATATCTTGGTGGACATTGGATAAGACACCAAATGACCTGGTTTTGATGTGTCAAATGCAGTCGCACCTTTAAGAAGAAGCAATTCAGAACATCCCATCAACAAAACCTAATAATATAAGAGATTTTTTTAGAAGAAAAGCCTGGAGAAAAATAACTGTTTCATCAGTCTAGATAAGGTAGCCAAGTCTTGGGAGGGTTGCTTGTTTTGATACTGTCCTGTTTTTTTGTCATAGTTAGCAAGTGGTCAGACATGACTACCTCTTCTACACAACTAGTTATCTCCTTTTCCTTGGTTATGGACTGACTGATATCTTTCAATTTCAACTATTGTAGCTTACAAATGTTTAAAACTCCAGATATGTCCTTTTCATAAAAGGAGATAATTTGAAACACTCACTGTAAACACTGTTCTTATCTTATGCAGCACAATGTTAAAAAACTTACAAAATATTAAATAAAAATAAGCATTTCAAAGAAAATTGGGTCACATTTTTTAAAATACCAGCTTCAGCATAGCTTTAATTAAAAAACTCATTCTCAGTTTAATAGCAGGTAAAAAAAAAAAAAAGTCTGTGGACCTTCCTAAGTAAGATTAAAAGCTAATAACAAAGAGTTCATTTGTTTTCTCAGAAACAGAAATGGGACTTAAACTGAGACATCTAATAGGAAGGCTGATCTTTCATTAAAAAATGAATTAAGCTGTAAGAGTAGTACTGACTTCATTATTTCTTTTTCTAAGGTGAGTCTTGAAAAAAAATTACAATTATAAGAACACTAGGGAAGGTATCTCTCTATAGACAAATAACAACAGGAATTATATTTGTACATAATATTTAAGGTTCCCGGAATTCTGTGATAATGAGGTAATTTTTTCTGCCATGGTATTTAATTCATTTAGCCTGAAAAAATCTTGCAGTGAAAAAGCACTTGAGCTGTTTGCAGAGAAACACTGGCTGCTTTGTAGTGCTGATGTATAAGCTCATAGTGCTTTTAAACAAAAAGTATATTGGGAAAAGTAATGCTGGAAAGGTTTATGTTTACTGACTCTACAGTGTCTGGATAAAAACTGCTATCTTAACAAGTAGACAGATTTCTTTCCATCTGCAAATTCAAGCTGAAATAACAGGCATCCTGTATAGATCTGGCTTGTACATCACCTTCAGTACTAAAGATTCTGTACTGAAAACTTATTAAATAACTTCTTGGATGGCAGATGGCTACCTTTTTATTACCTGCTATTGTTCTGTACAGCTAATAAAAGTGAAAGTTAAAAGCATTTTTCCCCTCAGAGCTAAAGACAAGATTTGAAACTTGCAAGGAGGTTTGCTGAAAGGTATCTCAAACCAACTTACTACCCTGATTTGGTGTTTGGAAAATATTGGTAGAGGTAACACCCCCTCCCCATTGGTACTGCTGCACCTCCCATAACTTACTGTCAGCAAAAATTACGCCAGGTCAAACTGAAAGGTCATTTTTTCCTATTTATTTACTGTTTCCACCTAAAAATATGTTTTGCTGGAGTTATCAGAAAATTTTACTATCACTTAAAAATATAATAAGTATTTATAAATCAAACAAATAATGACATATGCATCAAATGGAGATTTAAAAAAAAACCCCTTAGTTAAAAAAATTCAATTATTCGTTTAAAAATATAATAAGTATTTATAAATCAAACAAATAATGACATATGCATCAAATGGAGATTTAAAAAAAAACCCCTTAGTTAAAAAAATTCAATTATTCGCCCAAACAAGGAGAGGACGGACTTATATTTAGCTTGGAGGCTATGGGCACAGACTGCAACATACAAGTGACAACATCTACACTCAAAACAAATAAAAAGCAATATTTATTCACACAGCATGAAATTATATTAAGAACACTAACAGATATAGGATGCCACGGAAGTAAAAGATCCAAAGCAAGATTTTAAAAAAGTATTGGATATCCATATGTGTACAAAAGCATGTTAGAAGTGAAAATCTCTAAAAGTAACGAACCTTGGAACTAATATTAAAATCCATTCTTCAGATTTAAATTCAGCTATTAGACCAACTCCTCATGTAAGATGAGATGGTCTCACCTATGTCAAAGACTGGGTGCTAGACTAAATAGATGAAGGCCTAGTTCCATAAAGTAAACCCTATCCTATACCTTTCATGTATTTCATGGCAATTTTAACGTTGCCTCACATAACATCTGTATTCTCAGCCAAACTAAACACCCTTTTTCCCAATCTAAACAAAACTGACCTTTAGACAAGGTATGGCATTATCAGTTATTCAACATGAGACTGATTATGGATAATTGTTGTGAACCAAACATGTCCAGAATTATCACTGATATTTAAATACATGCAACCATTGCTGCAAATTCAAGAATTCAAGAGTATAATGCATATATAGTACATTGTAAGTGTAACAGAAACTTCACATGAAATAAGCATAAAAGCAAAATGCACTTTCCTGTGTATTCTGCATGCTCCCTTCTAACTTTCACCTTTAAATATCATTCTGCATAAGTATGGGACCAAATCGTTTACATGTAGAAAATTGAGGCTCGGAAGCTCAGCTGAAGAATATATCTTAATAATGTATACTTAGTGCATACTCAACAGCGTTGGCCTTCTGCAGCCACATCTACAGCTGGCAATGAGAAACAGTGGACTTTCACTTAGTTTGACCTCACTTCACAACACCACATTTTCCCTTGACTTTCTGGAGCTGTTTCATTACATGTTGTGAGTATTCCCCACCAGAGACAGTGGGGCCTCACCTGAATGACAGCTGCCAGCAGACTGGCATCAATTCAGTACTGATTTAGAGGCAAGACTGAAATTTGTTCTCCAAAGAGTGCAGCTTTCAACTTCTGTTGAAGCTGCTGTTAATACAGTACTAATATTGCTCAACCTTCTAATCAACTCACATCTAACTAGGCATACATACTGGATAAGGTCTTATAACCTCCTTATCCCACTTCCAGATTTCCACTTCTCCATCCCCAAACTTCCAATCCCCTACTCTCCAACTTGTGATGTCTTCTATAAAAACCTGAGTAGCTGAGAATATTATATACATATACATATAAACACCTCCCACCCCCATATTCACATACACTTTTAAAATTTGAAACAATAAAAGCCAACTTAGATCCACCTAAAAATACTTGGTGCAGCCTGTTCTTCCCATGAGTGGCTTTCTGCTCACCCATGTGCCTGACAGCGATCCCTTCTTGTAATAGCTTTACCACATAAGTTGTGTCTCACCTTCTGAAGACTCCCATATCTTTCTATTCATTTTAAATAAGTCTTTATTAAAACTCCTTGTAAAGGCAGCAGTACAGGTCTGAATTAATTTTGGAAAGGACAGTGGAGTTACTGGTTTCTATCAAAGAGCAACCTCCACCACTCAGCTAGGTGCTAGCAGGAAAATACTGTGGTCACCGTCTAGTGTAATGTAATATAACACGTAAGCATGTGAGGATGAAATGCGTAACCTCAGATACTTCTCTGAAGTTAGTTCTGAGAATACAATGATTTATTTTTCAGTGTCGACCACTTGAACTGTAATAAGGTACAGCAGGTGGTGGCCAACACCTTTATCAAAATTTTAATTGTTTCATTTTAAATAAATAAGCTAAGGTACAGTAACAACCATATGCTTTTTAAAAATCAGAATTACATTTTCTCATATAACCTCATATACTTCTCTGAAGTTAGTTCTGAGAATACAATGATTTATTTTTCAGTGTCGACCACTTGAACTGTAATAAGGTACAGCAGGTGGTGGCCAACACCTTTATCAAAATTTTAATTGTTTCATTTTAAATAAATAAGCTAAGGTACAGTAACAACCATATGCTTTTTAAAAATCAGAATTACATTTTCTCATAAAGCAGTGTTAGAAAAAATATTTTTGACATTGCTTTATAAATTATATTTGCCACCTTCCAAAATGAACTTCCCTGGAAATCAGAGCTGTGATGGTTTCTATGTTGTAATTTTACTAAAAAAACACCAGTAACAGAAAACACATTTTGGATTCAAATGTATTTGGGGGAAATTTTTTTTTTCTTTTTTCAGATCAAGGCAAATTCCAGCTTCAGTTTACTGTACTTCTCCTTTTCGATGAAGGTATCCTATAACAAAAGACAAATCATGTCATACTCATTGTATCTATTCCTTTTCATATACAAATTTAAGTATGCTTTTGTCATAAAATATGCTTACAGTTTTCACATGCCTTACACTTCAGCCAGTATTTAGTTTAGGAAAGTTTAGTTTTCTAAAAGCAGCTTATCAGACAGGATTTAGAGCATTTGCAAGATAGAGTCCTGATTTATTTATTTATTTTTTTTTTTGTAAACATCCTGAATTTGGCGTATTCCTTAATGTCAGTAATATAAAACCAGCCTTTGGTTGTTAGTCTGCTGCCATGTGGATGCTTTTTGCTACATTTCCATCTCCATTATTCTCACTATTTTGTATTGATTCCTGGAAAAGTTCTTAAGACCTTGTAAAATCACAAGTAACTAATGTAGGTATTGCTAAACCACAGGACCTTTAATGATGTTCACCTTTGTGGCAGACGTGTATATATAATTAAACTGACGCCCGGGAACAGTTTGATTTCTGCAGTGACGGCATGTGGTAGTGCTGCAGGGAGGAACTCAACAGCATCAAAGATAAAGCTTT